AGAAATTACCATCTCAAACTTGTTCTTTAAAAATTGTATTTAAAGAAAACTACAATTATTAAGTAAAAAAAGAAGCTAAAGATTAAGCCCCACCTATACCTGCCCCGATCTCAATTATGATGAATTTTTCATTCGTAGTCACATCGAAGGGCGGAGCATAATTGCAAAATCCATATTTCCCTGCAAAAATTTTCCATTTTTAACATGTTCTAAGTTTCTTGCAGTGAGAAAAACTACTTATATTAAGAAAAATAAAAACTAAATATATGCACCGCCCACCCACCCTGTCTCAATTTTGATGATTTTTTCTATTTGTCGTGAGCCAGAGGGCGGAGTTTAATTGCAAAATCCTTATTTTTCTACAAGAAATTACCATCATGTCCTTACAAAATTATGTTCAAAGGAAACTATAATTATCAAGCAAAAGAGGAAGCCAAAAATTAAGCCCCACCTACATATACCCGTCTCTATCTTAACTATGATGAACTTTTCATTCGTTGTCACACCAAGGGGCGGACCTTAAGTGCAAAATCTATATTTCCCTGCAAAAGTTTACCATTTTAAACATGTTTTAGGTTTCTTGTAGTGAAAAAAAGTACCTACAGTTTCCGACAAAAAATTTCAAACTTCACTTTTCTGTCATGTCAAAAATTTTAATGTAGTCTATACTTTATTGTCATTATTTCGGACAGCTGGAATGTCAAACTTTCAAAATACCTAAACATCCAAAGGTTCCTTTACACTATCTGACGACTGAATCACATTGACGTCTGAAATTTTTTGGCGACAACTGTATATTAAGAAAAAAAAAAAATAGCGCGTTTAGGATTCCGAGCAAAATTTTCGAAATATTTGATTTGAAATTCACTTTTTTGCCATATTTCGATTGGTGATTCTGGAAAAATTGAAGCAGTTTTCGAAAAAATGGGGCCAAAAATAACTGTTGGAAGTCGAAATCAACAGACAAAAAAATTGTTGAAATTTTCAGTGAGAAGGAGTACTGAAAATTTGAGCTTTTGAAAAAATTTGCACAAAAATCCTCAAAACAATTTTCATCTCGACGTGCATTGGAATGCAAGTGCACTGTAACATTCTCATGATTCTATATTGTTATATCTGGTCATTTCTTAAATTTCTGCTCTAGTTGGCCATGACGCTCACGTGAACCGTGACGTGCGCGTCATCGCCAACTAGACTTACTATTATAAATTTTAGAGATGACGCTATCCTATTGGTGGTGGGGATGATTAGCCAAATTTTAGTTAGCATTTAACCATCTCCATGATATTCCTAATATACATACAAAATTTGACAACAGTTGGTCCGGTAGTTTTGGAGATTACGTGTCTAATAAAAATCTATACAAACACCAGACAGACAGACAGACGGAAACGTTTCGTACTCTAGAGGTCATGACACGTCGGGAAAATATGAAAGTGGCAATTTGGCTGGTGGACTCGATTACTATACTTACTTAGCTTACGCTCGGGAATTAAAAATATATAATTAATCTCTTTCATTTCATATTTTGTGACAAAGCTCACTCCCAAAAAGGGCAAAAAATTTCAGTGATATTGAAAAATTGAGCTTTTGATAAAGTTGGCTCAAAATTAAAAAAAAATTCAGGAATATTAATCTCAGGGTGCTGTTTCTTAAAATATAGTGTGTTTATGGTCCCGGATCAACACTGTCGAATTGATTGATATTAACATCAAAATTTTTGAAAAAGTTTTTTTTATGAAACGTCATATATTTTACACATCCTATATATATACTTTATTGACCTGTACTTAAGCTTTACAACGAAGTATTTTCCACATTTAAATTCGATAGTTATTGCAATTGTTTCCTTTTTAAAAGATACACCGACATATTGAAAGAAAGAACAAAAAATAGAGTAAACTCAAAGAATCCAAAAAATCCGAAGAATTAAAAAAATCTCAAAAACTCAAAAACTCAAAAATTCCAAAAATCTAAAAAATCCTGAAAAACCAGGAATTCCAGAGAATCCAGAAAATCTAGAAAATCCAGAGAGTCCAGAAAATCCAAAAAATCTCGAAAATCCAGAAAATACAGTAAATCCAAAAAATCCCGAAAATTAAAAAAATTCAAGAATCCAAAACGTTCAAAATGTCTAAAACTTCCAAAAAGTCCAAAACATCTAAAAGAACCAAAAGACAAAATACATCTAAAAGATCCAGAAGGAATAAAAAAAATGAAATATCGCAATTTACTGGTAAAATTTTAGGTTAAAAGGTTCCGTGTACTACCAATAAAGCAGTATCAGTAATATATTTTTAAATTTTCGGGCACACAAGTTTGATTTTTTTTCCCAAAAAATTTGGCTAAAATTAAGACATATTCATAAACTACAAAGTGTAGGAGTATGATATTTTATAAAATTTAAATCACGTTTATCATCCAACATATTGAGGTGACGTCATCATATTGTTGATGGGGTTGATTAGACAAATTTGGTTAGTGTTTTCCCATCTACACAATATTTTTAAAATATACCTCTATATCAAAAAAAAAAACAGACACAGACGACAGACAGACTGAAATGGAAGACCTATTGTTTCGCATTAACTCTAAATCAAATCTTAAATTTAATTTATAAACAACTTTTTATTTTATTTATGTTAGATATTTCAAGTATTTACATAATTTTTGAAAATCAATGAAAAATATTGAAAGTTTGTAAACGCCATTGCTTTTAAGTTTAAGAAAGAATATCTACGAAAAAGAAAACGTTTTTTTAACACCCTAAGTTTTCAATTTAATTTTTTACTAACAACAAAAAGTTATATAAAACTATTGACCATGGACTTTCTTGAAAAAAAGAAAGTGGAAATTAAAGGAAAAATTGTGATATTATTGAAAACTTGAACGATAGAAAAATAGTACCATCATGTCTCCCAAGCAGAACCAATACCATGTGCATCTAAATATATTTCTTCTGGAAAGAATAATTCGATTGTAAATAACATCATAAATCCTAAATGAACATCAGTTTCGTCTCAAAATTTTGAAAAATAAACTTATATAATTTCCAAAAGAAACTGTAATTTGCTTGTCCACACCAACAAAAAGAAATCATCTTGTAAAATTTCAAATGGATGTGTTTTATTAAACTATTAATAAAATTATAATCACTTTTTGAGTAATCAACACATTCTGGTTGAGATTTGACTATTTTAGTTGGTAAAATATTTATTTCAAAAATGCACTCTACTTTATGTGAACTTTGAAATGGAAGTTCGCCATTGAACTGTTCGTATAGCTATTTTAAAAACACAGATGACGTCATCAATTTTCTGGAAGGGTTAAATAGACACATTTTGGAAAAGATTTCAGCATCTTAATTGGTGACAAAGTTTTGGAAACGAACGAATTAGACATTCGTTAAAATTATTACATTATTTCCCTTAGTTATTGCTCTTGGTAAAAATGCCGAATTTTTTAGTTTCAGTTTATCTTATTCATCTTTGATTTTTAACACATTATTTTTTTGTTTTTTTCAAAATTTAAATTCCGAATTTTTTTAGTAGATGTAAAAAAATTAAAAATAAATTAGTTCATAATATTTGCATAAAAAAAATTGTTTATTATTTCCTTATTAGGGGAAAATTTTATTATTGTTGATGAAATTGTTTGGGTGTGATTTGGCGACTCCGTGTTTTCAGTGTCTGTGTAAATATTTACTACTTACCATTTCTGCGGTGTCAAGTCTTAATCCGCTATTAGTATTCCGAATAGTGGCTTTCGAGAAGGTGAGAAACGTGACCTTTGCAGATGTGGTCATTGCTAATGCTGATCGATTGATTTAATTCTGAAATGTATTTTTGTTGCAGTAAAGGGATTTTGAGGAGCAAAATGCTTTATAAATCACCATATTATCGCTTTATTTATAACTTCATAACCATAGTTGGAAAAGCAAATTTAAAAATTTTCCCAAACTACTATTTCATCACTTTTATTCAAAACTACTGCTTCATCGTAATGAATAAATTTTAGCCCACACTGCAGAAAATCATAAAAAGCTTCCCAGCCACCCGGAAGTTCAACAATTCAAACGAATTCGTCTTATTGTCAATTGTTCCATAAAAGTCCATTCCACACTCATGCCGAGCACGAACTCGTACGTAAAACCTGCGTCTCCATTAATTGCACCTTTCCATAAACCGCTACCATGATGTCCTTTATAGCCCCACAATCGCCTCTCCCGATACCCATTATCTGAAGTGGCCGTAAAAATTTTACGACTCCTAATTGAATCCAAGAGACCACACCAATGGTGTTCTTTTCCTCGCCCATCTTTGACAAACAAACAAACACTGCTTGAACACGTTTTATTAAGGACGTGTGAAAGGGTACGGAGATAATGACAAAGAAAAATGGCCGCTCATGCTTCAATTTTCGCGCTCGTGTTAATTGGGAGAGAGCATGGAAACTAGGACCGGCTTCAGGTGGTATGTTTCTGGACGTTTCATAGGATAAACACTTCTACTGTTCTGAAGCCGGTCCTGCTGGGACCTCCTCTAAAAAACTGGATCTTGCTTTGGTCACGTTTCTGGTCAGTCTAATCTCCTTTGTTTGACCAGGGAGGGTTGGGTAGACACTAAACAGCCCATAATTCTTCATTTGTGTTGACTCTGAAATGGTGCGAAGTGATTCTCTGGCTGGCGATAATGAAGGTGTGATATGGCCGCACAGGTTTCACTTTCTTTGGTTTGGATTTAGAGGGTTGATGGGAAGAGGGAAAAAAGTTTGCTAGAATCTGTGGGATTTTCTTTAATCATAAAGCTGTGACAGTCTTAAAAATAAATATCTAATGCTAATTTTTAATACATGTAACAAGGCTTAAATACTAAGTGGGCTTATAACTAGTTATAATTTAGGGTTTAGGCACTTAACTATTCACTAATCACCTACCTATCACGATTGATTTGTCTATTTGGTAACTATAGGGAATACTTATATTTACGCAGGGTGTGCAAAGCGTCAATTGTGACTCTATGTGTAAATTAAAAGTTAGTTTGGTTATTCTTGAGCGTTTACTTGACGCAGAACAGCGAAGTACGACCAAGACGTTCGCAAAATCTGGAAAAGGGAATGAATTTGTTAAGATATTTTTAAGTGGAAGGAAAGAAAATTGGAGTTTTTTTAGTAAGGAGTCTCCAGAATTGTTAAAATTATTGTCAAAAATTTACATAAGGTAGTTCGAAAAACTGCTTGAAATATTTCAGTCAGATTTTAACGTTATTTTGATTGTAATTTTTGCTGATTTTGACTCCTTGTTTTTAGAAATAGTCTACATTACATGTTTATATATTTACTTACGACACAATTTTGCGAGTAAAAACCCTACTCTCCGATGCTGGAGTAATCGATAAAAAGTATAGTTGGTTGTCTAATGTTAGCCACCGTTATGTTGTCAGTGTCACTCGTTTTTACAATTTTATTTTACCCAACTTAAAATTAATTTTTAAGGCCAGCTATGATTCAAAAAGTTTCGTAACAATTTATATGAATATTATTGATGAATGATTTCTTGTCAGCCAAAGAAATTTTGTGCTAATATTTATTCGAGTTTCAGCATAGTTGAATTAATAAGTTGGAAAAAATCAGGTCTTTGAGCAGAATTCAAAATTATATTTATATTATGTAAAATTTGATTCGCTTGTGCTTTGTATCTTACAAATTTTTTTCGAGGAGTTTGGAATTATATATTTTTTTATTTACTAAAAAGTGCCTAATTTTTGCATATAGAACTATTTTTTTTTATATTTTTAAGAGAGAAAAAAAAAACAATTTCGCTAAAATTAGTATTTAGTTTCGCCTCACTGTGTGATAAAAATTTTGGTTTACTTTGATGAAGGTATAACTGGTTGCCGATGGTTGAGACCCATGGAACCTGAAACTCGCTTACCGTTGTGAAGGTGGCCAGAGATAGTGAGAACAGGTTGATCGCCGACATTTTGATGGGCTTCTGGGCTCTCATGATGAAGATGAGAAGATTCTTTTTGGCTTCTATTGGTATTCCTGTCCAATCGGATTCGAAAGCTGAGTATGGGATCTGACTGCTCTGAAAATAACTAATATTTAATTTGTTGCTACTTTCCTTTAAAGCTTGCTAGGATTTCGTTTATTTAATAATATTATAAAATGTTTATTTAAGAAAAATAATAAAATATAATAGTGAAAATGTCGAAAAGTTTGTGTACGTAGTTGTAACACAAACTGTCGTATTTTCTTTTATGTTAAAAATGTTCGTATAAAATGTCTATTTTTACTAGTAGGATTAAATTTCCGCAAAATCGACATATTTAAGCAAAGACATGGATTGGCATTAATAATTTCATGTCAAGTCATTTTTCAGTTTTTTGCTGTAACATAAATCACTTATTAATAAAATCCGGCTCGAATAATACAAGAGATAAGAGTATAATTAAAGAAGTAGCCGCAGTTATTATAACATAATAAATTCAGTGTGGAATCACATAAATTAACAGTAAAGTATGTATCATCTTAATATATGTGGATACTAAACTCAAAAAGACGGCAGCGTAGCTGCTGAAACGCGGCGATGTTTAATGAAGTGTGATATACAATATTAAGGTTGTGTAATAATAAATATTCCACAGCAACCGTACGAAATAAAGATTGTTTCCAAATCGGCAACCAGCTAAAAGCGTAATCTATCTGCAATGGAGGCATTTCGAAATAACTTGAAGGAGAACTTTCGTCTCTAAGACTTCACTCTCTGGGAGTATGGAACAAACAAGGCCGCACAACGAAGCACACTCGGATCTTAACGGAGGCGTTCAACAGAATACCCTTGTTAAGGATGGGCTGTGACCGAATGGGCACAAAATTAATATATGAGAAGACATATAGAATATCAATGAATGATAATTCAAAAGGACGAGCCGACATAGATATCTATGTCGATGGTGCCAAAACAGATAGTGGTTCAGGAGCCGGCATCTACTCCGAACAACTGAACGCACAAATCAGTGTACCTCTCGGCACCCACACGTCTGTCTTACAAACAGAACTGATGGGAATAATGCTGGGAGCTAGAATCATTGCTGAACGTGAAATCGGCAACAAATCAATACGCATACTTACTGACAGCAAGTCTGCACTACTAGCCCTGGACAGCTGTATGGTTCGATCCGGGCTGGTTTGGGAGTGCAGACAAACGCTAAAGTATGTAACGCAGAGGAATAGTGTGGAACTTTGTTGGATCAAAGGACACAGTGGCAACGAAGGAAACGAGAGGGCAGATGAGATGGCGAAGCCAGCCGCGCGCATGCCCTTCTGGGGACCCGAACCGGCAATCACGCCTTCGGTCGCCCTCTCGAACGAACTCGTAAAGCAATATACCCATAGACGCCATGAGCAGATATGGGCGACGTTGAGCAGCTGTCGGCATAGTAGAGCTTGTATGGCGACACCAGACCGTAAGTTGACAAAATTTTATCTCTCACTTTCAAGGGACAAACTGCGTAAACTGGTAGGATTCCTTACGGGACATTACCAGTTTAACAAACATCTACATACGATAGGGGTAGTAACAGACCCAATCTGTCGTGGATGCAATGAAGAAGAGGAAACAGCTGAGCACATTCTTCGTGAGTGTCCAGCCCTAGCCTCCTACAGGGAATCCATACTAGGGGACATCTGGCCTAGTATGGCAAATATCAGGGAGTTTCCACCCTCTGCATTACTCAAGTACATTCAAGCAGTTGGATGGCTTGACGAGTAGAGGAGCGGGAAAACACCCTGATATGGACTTGGGGAAGGTACAATGGGCCCAAAGGCGAGGCCTAAGTGCCGGCTGGCTGCGGTCAGCCCCCATAAATTAAAAATCCAGAATCCAGAATCCAGAGAACTTTAGACACTTTTTAGCTCACCTGAATTTCAACTTCGTTTCCAAACCAACAGTACATAAATATCTCAAGAATGACTACACTTAGATAAAAGAGAAGTGCATGTCCCTCACTACTGAATGGATCAATCTGATTAAAAAACCGTTAGAATAAATAAAAGTATGTACATTTTCTTACCAAACTGAGAAGAAACATCGTTAAAGCCACAGAAACTGAGGTCGAAAAAAATTGACACAAAATAATCCAGTTGAAAAAAACATTACTGTTTTTAGCAAAGCTACAAACGTAAACATGTTGATAGAATATTTGATTCCACGATAAATACTGTCACCTCAAGATCAGTTTATGATGCAAGATACTTCGCTTTAATGTTTCATGACTGTTTTCTTCTAATCTGACATTTTGCAGAGTATCACATAAAAGGATACATTGTGTAGCGACATATGTATTTAAAGCAGTGACAAAAGTGTCAATGCTAATACTCGTTGTACCGCGAAAAATAGTAGACACAATTTGAAATAAATAAGTGAATTCATAAGCTGGCGATTTTTCAGTATACCATGGATACCACGCCTGCACTGGTAGTATATAATCCTTCGTCGTGTTTGTTAGAACTGGTAATAATAAAAACAGTGTTAAAGTGAAATACACCAACGAAAAAAATGATCTGTTTGCTCTCTTGCAAGACCTCAAAGCTGGTTCAATTTTGTGTCGTTGATCACTTGATTGGGGTTGAAAAAGGTCACTTTCCAGAATTACTACTAAGTGCTTGAGTTTTCTTAGGTTCTTCACAAAGAAACAACTTTTAATGAAGGATAGTGTTTGTGTTAACGCCAGAAATAACGTTCTAATTAAAACTGTTATGTCACTCCTGAAAAGCAATAACACTTCCACTGTAAAAAATACAGAGTGGGCAAATAAGCATAGAGTAATAGAAACTACGGTGTATAATGCGTAAAAATCATGTTTGTATTTTTCACCACTGGGCCATAGTCCGACAATTTTAAACATTATTAAATTTGCTTTTATTGCTGAAATCCAACTAAAATTTGCCATTGCTGTTTTGTATCAAGCAGAGGGTAATTAGGAAAATGCTCTTAGCAAGACTACTTACTACTACTTACTTTTTCTGAAATATTTTCGCAATTAAAAACTTGTCACTTTCAATAAGCGCGAGTTTTTTCAGTGAAATGTTAATATACAACTGACATTTTACGAAAGGAATGTCCTTTTAAACGTTTCTTTATTATTGACGCTAGTCCTACAAATTATAACTTTGATCTCGTGCATTTTCGATGAATACTCTCGTTGTACAGTGGAAATTTAAATACAGTGTTTATAAAAATTAAGGGTTAAATATACTGCTGAAAAGTCCTTATGCATGTGGAAGCGTAATTGCGACTAATAAAAAATGCATTCTTTAATAAGCGGTGAAAAATAATTGTGTATTCCACTGCTGGAACTGGAAAAGGGAGATCGCGAAATTAACGTGATTGTTAACTAAATATTCTTCGAACGAAACTGTCATTGGTAAATACAACAGGCGTAAATTAGGGCCTCACTTTTCCGTCTGTCTGTCTGCCTTTCGTCGATTGGCGATTTTATTAGTTACTCGAAACTACTGGATCGATTTATTGTGAGATTTTAAGTTATTTTAAGAATATCGTGTTGTGTTACCATTCTCATCAAAAATTTTATGTATATTAAAGTGTGATATTTTATAAAAGGAAACATTGTGGAGTCATTTAAAAAAATCACCAGTTTAAATTCCGAAAAGTGCTTAAACTCTGCTTTGCCTAAAATCTTTTTTTTAATTATATGTAGGAACAGAGTAACGAAAAAATATTGGATGCATTTTTTCTTAACACTGCTGATCGTGACTGCGAAATGTCACAGGTTATCAGAACCTTCTGAAATCATTTAATGCGTCAACCGTGGTGGAAATTACTTTGATCTTTCTAAAAAAAATAATATTTCTAGAAAAGATTTGTTCTTACAAAGGTGGCAGAAGTTAGCAAATATAGAATGTAGATAAGTTTATTTTTTAGTGGTAAATTTTTTAAATGGTATTCAGACAATTTGCTTGTCTTTAAAATGTTATCATGTTATAAATTGGTTATGTGATTTTCTGACTGTTGTGTAATAATCACTCTAGTTACCGTAGAACCGTAGGAAGTTGTCTCCAAATCAGCGACCAGATAGAAAATAGTTATTTTCCTAACAAGTGTGGTAAGTCAGCGCGCATTAGCTACAACGTTTTTCCTAACGGCTTCTTTCACGTCTTTGAGCGATTAAATTTTTCGCAAAATATTTGTTAATGATACCTCAATAAATCTTTAAAAATTACTTACATTTTAATTCTCGCATTAGTGCGGAAAAGTATCACTTTCTGCACGGGTTGGGGTGTGGAAACTAGTCACCTTCCGCACGCCGTTAGGAAAAAACATAATCCATTTATAATGGAGTCATTTCTTAATAATTTTCAAGAGAAATCAAGTGAAAATCTGGTTCACTCTAGTTGTACAGCTTTTCTTTTATTTGGCATCGTGAGCACTGATTCTTTTTTTAGAAAATGTACAATTTTATTCACAGCAAGTTTGTATTTTCTTAAAAATGACATTAAGTTTTTTTGTAGATTTAGACCGTCTATGAAAAATTGGTCCAGCGTTACTTCAACAGAACTTCTCTCGCCCTTGAAGTACAATCCAAAGAATTCCGCTTATTTGAAAAATTATAAACAAATTTAATTTTGTTTTCTGATAACCTTTACATAGTAAAAACCAGTGGTGCAAATTACAAATTTCAAGGAGCTACCGTCCGCAGATATACGCAAAATATGTGAAAAATATTCAAAGTAAATAACTAACGGAAAAGAGTGTATAATTATCAGTGTACATGCTTAACTGCCATTGTTTATGTTTATACATCGAAAGAATGTCACGTAGAAATTTATTTAATTTAAATGAGTTGCTCTTCAAAACAGAAGACTAAAATTATTAATGAAACCACAATGAAACAAAATGTTTTGAATAGGATTATTATTATTCTTATTCGATCATAATTAAATAAAGACGTGGGTATTCTCACATTTTCTAGAAAACGAGGTTCTTCATTTCACAGTAAGTATTGAGCGAATGTTATAAGTATAATCCGAAAATTCTAGTTCTTTAAAAAAATATAAAATTTGATTTTACGATTTTCGTTTTGCAATAACAGCTGTAAAGTAAAAACCAGAGGCATAAATAACATCCCTTATTCTTCAACACTAGGTAATAGCAATCTGAAGCTCAAGTGTTTATTTATGTTTATACATCGAATGAATGTCATGTAGAAATTAGTTTGATTTGAATGAGTTTGTCTTTTCAAAACAGAACTAAAAAATTTGAACGTTTAGCGAAAAAACTGAAAGCGGATTCGTACACTACAAATACAGGAGTATATTTTTGTATAACATTCAGAACATTTTAAAATATAGTTCATTAAAATGACGTCATCAAATTGTTGGTGGGTATAATTAGCCAAATTTGGACTAGCATTTAACCATCTAGATGATATTTATTTTTAACACACATACAAAATTTGATAATAATCGGTTCAGCAGTTTAGGAGATTACGTATCTAATAAAAATGGATACAGACACCAGATGGACAGACAGACAGACAGAAACGGGAGACTACTTTTTTCGTACTGTAAGGGTTATGAAAAGTCAAGAAAATATAAAAGTGAAAGATTACCAACGGAACATAAACAGGAAGGAAAAGAGGCTAAAGGTAAGTAAAAGTATATCCTATTATGGTGATAAATGGTCAAAAAACCATCAGAGGGAAAGGCAAATTTAAAAGAAAATTCCAAAACGACTTTAGCTGCGGATATAGTAGAAGTTATGAAAAAGATGAGCAAAGTAAGATTGAAATGGTTAGAATAATTTCGAATAAGGGCCGAGGAGATGGTAAAAAGAAAGAGAATGAACAAGAAAAGACTGACTGAAAAACAGAGAAAATTATTTTTGGGAGTAGGTATGTAGCGAATTTTGACATCGTAGGTTTAGTAGAAACATGAAGAGAACTAAAAGAGTGGAAAAATATGGATCAGAAATTGCCAAAGGAATCTAATCCTGAATATGTCAGGAGGCAGAAAGAGAAAAGAAAGAAGACAGAGCTAAAGGGGACATAATAATGGGGATGAAACAAGAAAGGAAAGAATTAAAGATGAACTGCCGTGAAGAAGAAAGATTAATGATTTGGAGCACCATGATAGATAGCAATGAAAGGAAAAATAAGAAATATATGATAGTTGTAGGCGGAGATTTCAATGCAAGAATAGGAGAAAAAACAGAAAGAATACATGGTAAAAAAAGTAAATAAAAGTGAAACTAAGAAAGGAAAGCAACTGTTGGGACTAAATTTCGAATAGAAAGAAAATTGGACAATAATAAATTATTCAATATCGAATGAAAATGCATGGGAAGAAATTTCTCAGTTCAAAGTAGGAGAAAGGATACACTCCGAATATATGTCACTGGAGGTTGAAATAGAGGAATATGCCAAAAAACAGGAAAAAGTAAAGGAGAAAGCCGGAAAATATATGAGAATAATATGGGATGAGAGGATTAGTGGGTCATGAAGGTAGATAAAAGAAGCAGAAGTGAAGATAGAAATTAATATAAGTGGAAGTGGAGGGAGAAAAAGTGACTGGTGAAATGAGAAATGTTACGCTTTAAAAATT